TAGGACTGTGTTTTGTTCTTTTGTATACATAAAACCTTCAAGGTTCTTTTAACCACAGGGTTGTCCAGGATTTGTCAGTGGCCATGCACAAAACTGAAATACTGCTGCTGACCTGGGACACGCAAGATTTGGCTGGACTGTGTGCTAGGACATCTACTTTAGGTCGTGCTTGGCCTAGAATGTTTGGGCCAGGTGATCCTTGAGCTCCCTTCCAACCTGATTTTATGATCTGTACAACCTTGACTGTTGAATCTTTTGAAATACTTTTTCTTGTATCTGAATGTACAAGTTGTCCAGCAGAGAGGCAGCTTATGCATCAGGAAAGATCCTGACCAAAGCAAAAGTGGAAATACAGAATTCAAAAAGGGGGATTTGTCAGCCTCATTTTAAAAAAGAAACTTTTGCAAGACATTCATGCTTTCTTTAATATATATTATATATATTTGTACAGCTTTCTGTGAGCCTTAATCTTAAAAAGGAGGTAAATTATAGTCAAATTAAGTACGAGAGTGGGCTACCAGTCTGTAAAAAGGTACGCCTTTTGTTTACTTCTTAATCAAAGACAAAGGGGATTCTTCATGATTATTCTCTTTGGAGTTAGACTGACTTTGAAGAATCAGTTTATATCACTGAGGACAGTTGTGTAAAAAAGAACCATTTTCTCACACACATTTTCTCATGTAGTTTGGATATTAAGATAGGGAATTTTATTTGTCACAGGTTACAACGAAAAATGGTGCTTCTCAAAATACATAGCATAATGGCAGTTATTGACTTATACACAAATACTTATGCCTCAGTGATTTTTGTGTTGTTATTGTACTGGCTTGATTGTTAACTTTCTAAAGGGAATCGTATCTAAGAGATGAAATTATTTTAGACTTTGGACATGAAACAATATTCTAATGAATTTATTCATAATCATTCTTCTATACAATTCTCTTGGTTTTAGACTCAAATAGTCTATTTATATTTGCATGAGAAATGGATCTACACTGGAGTTTAAAATATAGTTTCGAAGTGCATGTGTACATGTGTGAATGTATCAGAGTGCATGTGTGTATTTGGATCTCCCTTTCTATGTATATATATACATGTATATATACACATATACATATAGGGCGTTATGGTTTACTAATGTTGGATGCTGAAGTATTGCAGTGCTAAGGCCATCTGTCACATTGTGTTTTGTTTTCAACTTTCTTACAAGAGGTGTGTATGAGTACAAAATATTATGTTTTAACTGTTTAGTCCCTGTTTTACCTGTGTAATTTCATAGCAGATTTTTTTAAACAGCACTTTTTTGTTGTTTTTGTGAAACTTTGTTTGTTTGTTTGTTTGTTTTAATAGATACATATATATTTCCTAGGAACAGATAAAGCAAAAGAAAAGGACCACAATTTAAAATTAGCTCAGTGGGGGCTTATTTAAGAAACAAATCCCTTTATTCTGCACAGAAAGCAGCATCTTGTGTAACATTTTTTTACACAAAGCACTTTGGTGAGGAGAGATAGTGGGAGTATGTTTTTCCTAAACCTTACAGAGTATTCTACATATTTATACATGCTAATGTATCCACATATGAGCTCCATTTGCCATACTGTATATCTGGCTGATACTTGCTCTAAAGACATCTGTTGCATACAATGAAAATATTTTGAAAGGATTAGGTACACCTTTTTCCTCTACTAGTGTGTGTAATTTTGTGATTTGTTACAGTTGTTTTCATATAATTGTAAGTTATATTTGTCTTTGTTTCATAAAATTCTTTTTTATGTAAAAGGTAAAATTGAAAGGTGTATGTGTGTGGTACAAACTAAAACTGGATAATTGTAACTCAATAACGTGACTGGTAGAACGTCTTATTGTGAAATGCCTTTAAAGAAGACTGCTCCAGCTATTGTCCTTCACTGTAAAACTACTAGTGTTTGTATGGATTAGTATAATTAGAAATAATAACAAAAACAAAGAGATTTCTTCTAAAACACACTTGGGTCAGAGTTTTGAGTCTGGATTTAATGATTGTTATAGTGAGGCTAGAGATTTGTAGAGATAAATGGATGCCTCAGTGTGTGTGTTTACACCCTGGGTGGAGACACAAATAAAAGAACAACATGCAATTACATTTTTGTGCTGTGATGATTTTTATTGGTTGCTTTGTTCATGTGGTTCTATAATACAACATGTAATGGGATTTTGCTTTTCTGTCTGGTTATTGTTTCTAACATACTCAAACAATTAAGTTATTTCAGAGCATTTAAGGGAAGGAAAAGAGCATTTATTTTACTGTGCATTAGCCAAAATGCTACCAAAAGATAGAGGCAGAAGCTGATACATACATACAATAAATACATATTTTCCAAAACACATCCTAAGAATCCAGCATGCTTAGGAAATAAGAGGTTACCTTTTACCACACCCATAAACTGAACTGGATATCTAAGGACAAAACACAAAATAATAAATTAATTAAGTGCAAAAAAATTCCTGTTACAGGTTTGCAAAAAGACCTTTGAAAATAATGGTCCAATTTATTTTGCTATGAAATTAATAGCACTAATAAGCAGAACAAAAACTAGTAAGCCCAAATTCATGACTAGTATACATGTGAGCTTAGTAGAGCTTTTACTAAAAATGAACTTTGATGAGTGTGTTCTTATTTATACTGCATCTTAGTTATAAAGTAGTAAACTTGCCCATGGTTTTAGCAAATATAGTTAGTGAATCCTGCAGACTACCATGAAGAACTCAGAGCTGCTGAATTAAAGTGTTTCAGAACTCAATTTTTCTTTTTGATGGAGAAGTATACAAGTTCACTGTGCAATGCGGAATAACATGTCTTGAAATACCTCAAAGCTCTGTGCTTTTCTCTGGGTGCCTGAACTTGTTCAGTTTTTCA